GAAATTTGAACTTTCAGGTAGCGCGAATTCCTCGAGACTGTAATCCAGATTTAAAGTTAATCTGGATTTGTAAACCAAAGCCAGCTCTCAAAGCTGAACAAGTTAATCCGGTTGAAAAGCTTCAAAAGCTTCAAATTTTGATCTAAACTGGTCTAAAGTGGTTGGATTCGTTTTGGTTGAGATAAAACAGATCCAATAGACAATCATAGATCTAATCTTTGCATCGGTGAATTGACATGAGTGTAACCTTTACGATTACCACATCGACTATTAGGGTTACGGTAAGATTTATTGGGGTTACGGTAGTACCCGGTTCAGGCAATGGGCAACGGTTTGATTATCGATATCAGTTACTATTCACAGATCTACACATGGGTTAAACACAGATCTTTTAAAGAATATCCCGGTAACCGGGAGATTCTTTAAAAGGCCTGAGCCTACGCTAGTTTCTCACTAGTTTCTTTTCTTATTCTTTTTCTTACAATTATTGTTGTTGGGGAGAATGAAATGGCGCCGAAAATCAAAAAAAATAATTCTAAAACTTCTAGCAGACTTTGTTAGCTGATAGGCGTTTGATATGAGCAGAAAGGTTAACGAATTCTCTTTACTACTTAACTAAGGTTAACTAAAGTTAACTAAGGTTGCAAAATGACATTTAAAAGGAGAAGATTAGGTGAATTCTGGTCTAACTTTTGGCCTGAGCCTACGCTAGTTTCTCACTTGGCTTCTGGCTTACAAATCCTAGGCATCCATTGGTTCAAGTTCCTAAAAATTTTGGACTAAACTCCGGTTTGTTCCGGAAAAATCGATTTACCAGTGAATCGATTTGACCATCTTGACCAGTGAACCAGTAACTAAGGTTAACTAAAAGTTACAAAATGACATTTAAAAGAGAACTCAAACAACGCCTCAGCTTAACAAAACGACAATTTTTCCACAAAATCTATAAACCGTGATCTAAAGATAACGGTTGGAGGGTTGTTCTGGAAAATTTGAAAACTTATGTAATTGAGTGTGCTCTATCTTTTTATTGAGACACCAAAGGAGGTTTATGTAGAAGAAATTGTTCAAACGATGAGTCAAACTCTGCCATTTTGACTTGCTGTTTTTGAGAGTCGATAAACTCGACGAAAAAAGCTTTGTGGAATCTCTTGAAAGTGATTTTGTAGAGACAAAATGGATCTTTTGATGAAACAAAACTTATATTTAAAGAAGGCTTTATGCATTGAAAAAGTTTCTTTAAAGTTCGGTGTCATTTCATTCTCCCCAACCCAATAGCTAAACTATCACCATTTTTTTTGTTTCAAATCTATTCAAAGACTTGTCCAGCTCAAATCTTTGTGCATTTTTAGCTTACTGCTTATGTGACAATGTTTGTTGCTCCAACGACTTGGTTTGCTATGTATTTTTGGAAGAAAATGCTCATCTTGCTGGTGAGAAACTTTAAAGAGATTTGAAAAAAAAGCTGTATTTTCAGAATACACAATTTGGGTGATGTTGATTGGAACATTTCATGGAATTGTCCCTAACAATCATCTTATTGACATGCTATGATTGTTATCGTCTTTTTATCATTTTCACTATTCGAAAAGGTAAGAGAAAGTTCAAATTGGAAAGGAAAGTTGTGAAAAATTGCAGAAGAATTCATGCGCTTCATTAAATCTTTGATATTTCTAAGTTTTCAAAGCATTTTTTTATTCTTAAATCAGTCTCTTTTTAGTTTTCGGCTTACAAAATGATTCATCGAAATCTCTGAGACGTCAATGATAATCCGTTCAAGAATCTCTCTACAAAGGCGTGCAGCATTTGGAGTTGACAAAATAAATATCTAAAAATTCTGTACGAATAATAATAATGTATGAAAATACTTGTGAAGTTTTAAAATTTAATTTTTAATATAAGAAACAGTTCGCACTGCACTCGGACAGATTTCTGTTTTTTTTTTTTTTTTATTCATCGGGAGTCAATCGGTATTCATCTACAGCGCTGAACGACGAAACATCATATTTGAAATTGATTCTCACTGGGGCGCGTTTGTAACTCCTTTGTTCTTTACCGTATTTCTAAATATTAATATTACCATTGTGTAGCCATTGAAAAGAGCTTTCAAAAAAATGTATAACACTAATAGTTTAAACTCAAAGACAAGGGAGTTATAGACGCGCAAAAGTGACGATCTTTTTCAAATATGATATTTCATTGTCCAGTACTGTATGTGGTAGAGGAAAGGGGAACTTGGTAATTTGGTAATTTGTACTGGAGAAAAACAAAGCAAAAAAAATTGAATTAGGAAAGGATACTCGATGGATGATCGAACTAATATATTTAAAAGATCGTCATTTTTGCGTCCTCCATAACTCCCTTGTCTTTGAGCTCCAACCATTAGTGTTATACATTTTCTGAAAGCTCTTTTCAAGGGCTGCCCAATGGCATTACTAATATTTAGGAAATACGGTAAAGACAAGAGAGTTACAGACGCGCGAAAGTGACGATCTTTTTTCAAATATGATATTTCATGGTCCAGTAGTGTATTTCTGTTTTTTTTTGTACATCTTATGGCCATTTTTAGGAGTATTCTTTTGATAAGTTTGTATCTCCCTTAAAGTCAATCAAAAATCTTCTCGACGATTTGTTGAATTATTGGAGAGTCTTTGGTCGACTTCATCCCTTTCCGATCTTCATTAGAGTTTCTTTGAATAGCTTCAGAGCTCGAAAAACCTTCGGTATCGTTGCCATATAAGATTCGAGATACCTCTGCGAGTGTTTTTCTTGCTTAAGAAGAGCAATAAATGGCTGGACGCAGCTCTTCTTAGACTTTATACCTAAAAACAATCAAATCATCGAATTAATAAGAAACGAAAAACAGCAAGCAGTTAAACGTAGTAAGATGTGCGTCACCATACCAGGGGGGATACCCTGTCACAATCTAGTCACAATCAAAGCTAAATTACTATGTCTATTTCTTATCAATGATCATCGAGAAGCTCAAATTCAAGCCCAAAGACTTTATGAAGAACTAATCGTTCAGTGCATACCTAGATTGTTGAAGCAGTTTGGATCATGATAAAAGCTTCAATCAAGCATTTGCGAAGAGCCACACAAAACGAAGAGCCGATCAAACGAATAGCCACAAACGATTTCCCTCTTACATTTTTGAGTATTCTGACCCCAAGAGCCCATTCAGATAATTGTCTTTTTCGAAGCCTTCTAAATGAGATGAGTCTTGTTTATCCTATCAATTAATCGCCCGTTCGTCAATTTGTATCCTTTCAAATAACTTTTGAGTTTTGAAGTGTGATGTACATTGATTATAGGCTTTCCTATTTAAGAGACTCTCAGCAAGACTTTTATATTAACGAACACAATCTTTTTGAACCAAAGCAGCATTTTCTTTAAACTTTTAATGGAAAAACCAGGCTGCCCAGTGTCCATATTAACGCAACTTATTGTTAAACCTCTTGTAGCAAATGTAGTGCAGGCGGTGCCGGCACCAAGTTGGTTCCAGGCTTTCGCAAAGGGGATTGTTGCTAAGAAACTTAAACTCCCAGAAATAAATTATTAAAAACTATAGTATTGAGTTAACAAGAAAGCTCAAAACTAGAGAAGTTTTCCTTCCGAGTAAAATTTTGCATGCAGTAATTTCTACTGATAAATCGACGTTTATCGTCGAGCAACTACGAGTGATCCTCTTTACACGTCGAGTAAATTGAATATCTTTAGATTTGAAGAGAATTTGCCACCAAATCATTTCAACAGCTGAATATCTTCAAAAGGAGTCGTATATAAGACGAAGCTCGTGATTTTTTAGGGCGTCAATTTTTTGCAATAATCTTTAGGGCCAAAAGTACGGTAATTTTTCCCAAGTGTGCGTTTTAAAAAACGTATTACTTGTGAGGAAACACACTCTAGTATTCCCCCAAACGGGGGCAGTTTTGGGCGGTCAAGGAAGGACGCAGGCTCAGGCTCCGAAATGGAGCAGGTTCAGGCTCCGAAATGGTGAGGGCTCAGGCCCTGAAATGGTGCGGGCTCAGGCTACGAAATGGTGGGGCTCAGGCTACGAAATGGTGCGGGTTCAGGGTCCGAAATGGAGCAGGCTCAGGCTCCGAAATGGTGCGGGCTCAAGCTCCGAAAGGGAGCAGGCCCAGGCTCCGAAATGGTGCGGGTTCAGGCTCCGAAATGGAGCAGGCTTAGGCTCCGAAATGGTGCGGGCTCAAGCTCCGAAAGGGAGCAGGCCCAGGCTCCGAAATGGTGCGGGTTCAGGCTCCGAAATGGAGCAGGCTCAGGCTCCGAAATGGTGCGGGCTCAAGCCCGAAAGGAGCAGGCCCAGGCTCCGAAATGGTGCGGGTTCAGGTCCGAAATGGAGCAGGCTCAGGCTACGAAAAGGAGCAGGCTCAGGCTCCGAAATGGTGCGGGCTCAGGCTCCGAAATGGTGGGGCTCAGGCTCCGAAATGGAGCAGGCAATGGTCCACGCGTGTCACAGTGGTGGGGATAGCTTTCGGAGGTTACGAAACGGTTCCGCCCGACGGTACCCCGCCCTGCAAACCCCGAGATTTTGGAGAAAGTTGGATCAAAGATTCAGGATCAAAGAGCTCATCAAGAATGATTCTGAAAAAGAAAATGTCACATAAACACAATCATCAAAATTTTGCACGAGGAAACTACTCAAAACATTCAAGTTTACCAACTGTGAACGCCTAAGATCAAATCAAAGCGAAACCTCAGCAAAACACTTTCTTCTAACTGTCTTGCACAAGAATTGCCTCAGAGCGAAAGCGAGAGATGCTATTAATGAAACTTTATGTGGACTAAACTTTAACTACTTTAATAATATAAATCTGTAAAAGATTGAAGATTTAAAACTGACTATAGCGATTTTTAATGCTGTCTATTAAGCGACTCATAATGAATGCGCTTGCTGTACCCAAAGCTTTACTTTCTTCAATTTTTCCTGTTTATTTTCATTATCATATATTTAAATTTAGAAAGTTTATTAAAAATTAAAAGAATTGGAATTTGGGGCACATTTGGAGGGCCGGGGTGCAAGCGGGTTGGGTCTCCTTCTGAAAATGAATGATTTTTGAAAAACTGTACAATTAAAAGATATTCTAGATACTCTAAATGTAAATTGATTGTTGTAAATTGATTAAATGTACATTTTTCAAATAGCTTTTACTTACAATGACAGCCTCGTTGAGTCCGCAGTTGAAGGCGCCCGAGTTGAAATCACAATAGGTGGAATAGATTTGCGCTTGGCAAGTGATCATGTCATTTGTGGCTCTGAAAAATTTGAAATTCTTTGGCAAAGTAAAGTAAAGGAGTTTACTAAACTTAAAAAGTTTTAAACGAGTTAACGTATTGGGGAAGAAGAAGAAGGGGAAGGAGAAGAGGAAGAAGAAGAAGAGGAAAAGAAGAAGAGGAGGAAGAAGAGGAAGAAGAAGAAGAAGAAGAAGAGGAAAAAGAAGAAGAGGAAGAAGAAGAGGAGGAAGAAGAAGAAGAAGAAGAGGAAGAATTGAAGAACGTATTGAAGAGGCTTAAGTCTAAATATAAAGTCTAAGCCTCATTTCTCACTCACAGTATACCAAAATGATGCATTTTAGCCGAGAAACTGATTTCTAATAGATCTGTCGAGGCCTAAGCCTTACACTTTACATTTAGGCGTAGGCTTCTTCAATACGTTCTTCAATTCTTCTTCTTCTTCCTCTTCTTCTTCCTCCTCTTCTTCGCTTCTTCTTCTTCTTCTTCTTCAATACGTTAACTCGTTTAAAACTTTTTAAGATCTAGTATAATTTTGATTTTAATATTCTGGTAAAGCGAAAATCAGACCAATATTTTTAGGTGGTAACTGGGCCGAACTACAAGAAAAGGAAAGGTTTTTGAAGCAATCTTTAAAGAGCTACAGATTACTGGATACAAATTACCATAGTTTACTACAGATTATTGTATTGCGTGTACTGTATTTCTACTTCTAAACTTACACGATGGATCGGTTCCTTGAGCGATCTCGTTTTGCATCATCGTGCTGCAAGCGGAGAGCGCGTCGTCACGGTGCTCACGGCAAGCCGCCATACAGTAGTAATCTTGGGAGGAGAACTGAAAAAGAAGGATTTAAAAATCTTTACAAGCTTATCAATAAATTCACGTGTCTAATACAATTCATAAACGATTTGCCAATAGTTAAGACCATGAGTTAATCAATTTTTTGAAAACTTCAAGTTTAACTACCTTGATATCCCTCTCCACATTGATACTTGGTGGCAATCTTGTCGAGGAACCAACGGGGAGACTCAGTCGAGTCAGCACCCATCGTCAAGAATGTATCCTGGGAGAGACACGGGAATTTCACGATACAGTTCACCAAATTGTTTCCGATTCTGAAATATTAAAGAATTAGATGATTTCTGTTTCGATGAATCAACTACACTACTGACCATGAAATATCATATTTGAAAAAGATCGTCACTTTCGCGCGTCTGTAACTCCCTTGTCTTTACCGTATTTCTAAATATTAACATTACCATTGAGTAGCCCTTGAAAAGAGCTTTCAGAAAATGTATAACACTTAATTTGTTGTTCATTGATGTCAAATAAAGATTTTAAAATAAAAGTTTGCTTTCTAGAGTTAATTTTGTTTATTTAGAAAGCTTTATATCTACCTAGAAAGCTTTCTATCTACCTAGGAAGCTTTATATCTACCTAGAAAGCTTCTATCTACTGTAGTGTAGATAGAAATTTATCTACCGTAGTGTATTTCTGTTTTTTTTACCGTATTTCTAAATATTAATATTACCATTGTGTGGCCCTTGAAAAGAGCTTTCAGAAAATGTATAACACTAATGGTTTAAACTCGAAGACAAGAGAGTTACAGACGCGCGAAAGTGACGAGCTTTTTTCAAATATGATATTTCATCGTCCAGTAATGTAGCTTGAACTCACTGGCAAATCTTTGGTTGCACTTTGACTCCTTGGGCATCAAGCCATCCGGTGCGCACTTGGTGCATCTAAAATTTAATCTTTATACTATTTCTTGAAAGAATTATAGTAAGAAGAGGTTTTTTTAAACCTCAAATAGCTTTAAATAGATCGAAAATCTATTCTTTAAAATCTCAAAACTCAAACTGCTTACATCCCAGTAATGTGGCAAAACGTTGCTCATCGAGAATCCGTAAGCGCCGACGAAAGCCTGGTAACAGTTGTTGAGACCGGCGATGTCATTAGCTGTGCAAGAGTCGGCGGCGAGGGTGTACGAGACGAGGAGAGCTGCTGAAATACGCATCATTTAGACAACCTACAAATCACTATTCGAACTAGGGAAAGATGGCCTTTTTGATGTATTTGATAGAGTTTTGAGTGGGGATTCCGAATCCGCTTTTGGTTTTTCTAATGGAGCTCTGTATCGCAAGATATCGAGCATCAAAGTATGGATCTTATTTTACGATCGAAAGCATGGTAGTAGCGCAGTTCCTGTTATATAGAGCTTTCTGTTTATAGAGCTTTTCGTTATAGAGAGCTTTCCGTTATATAGAGCTTTCTGTTATATAGAGCTTTACGTTATATAGAGCTTTTTGTTATATGGATAGTGCGAGCGCTCACGAGCTTTTTTTGCGCGAGTTCGAATCCCCTCTATATTAATCCTTTTTGTTTTTTTTTAGTTAAATGATGAAAAAGTAAGCAGCTAAGAACAGTTCTACTACATTTATACGATAAGCGTCTTTACAGGAATCTGGTTTAAAATGGCTTTTAACGGTCGGCTTCTAAAAGCTAAAGAAGCTATCGTAATCTGAAAGCTACCGTATCTCTTTTAAGTTTATCATTTTCTTCATGAGCTTTGGATTACGGTAGATTTCTAGCTAGATTACGGTCGATTTTTAGCTAGATTACGATAGCTTTTCAGACGGACACATTTTCGAACAGCGAAATACGATACTGGGCTTTTGATGTGATAATCCAAGAATAAATACTAATTTAAACCAATATAAATATAGTCTCACAAGTAAAAAACAAATAATAAATAAATAATAAATCCTAATTTTTCAAAACTACAGTAATCTTGAGCAACGAACAAAACCGGATAGGATGACTTTGAACATTTTTTGCTTTCTGTGTGCTGATTTTGAGGCGAAATCAAAATGGAGAAATTCTCTGACCTCCAGCCCGAGTATTTATGAGTGTGATAATCAAGAAATCCCTCTTATCTCCACACTTTTCCCCAGATTCACTTTCCAGATGACGCCGAATGGAAGCAATGGAAGCAATGTGAGCAAAATTGGGGATTAATCCCCGATTTTGGATTGGAAACCCTTCAAAAAGATAAGAACCCGCACCCTCAACACTTTCTCCACAAAATTTGAGGTGAAAGTGAAAAAGTGAAATGAGGGAAAATTTTGCTTATGACATTTTACAAGATTCACAATTTCAGCCGTCTTTCACCGCTTACCACGTTGAAAAGATGGCATCTCGTCTGCTCTGCCAAGTTAAGCAACGTTGGGCTCGGTTATTATTTGGATCGGAGACGATTTGGGAATCCGAAGTGTTTGAATTGCTTTTGCCAATGAGCTCAACTGATTGGAAATCTACTTTTGCACAAAGTAATGAATTACTTTTCGAATTTTCAGCTTTAATTTCTTTATTATCGGAGTACAGCATCAGCTTCATAGGTAAATCTGTAAAATAGAGGAATTCTTTCGGCTGAGGCTTTTGGATTTTCCAAGAAGGAATTCTCCTCAAAAATTTCTTGAAACATGCAAGGCGTTTGTTGATACTAACCTCAAACTTGGGTAATTAAACCAACTTTGCGGCCGCTTTCACTCATATCTATCTGCCCTGTGCGTCAGATGGCGAGCGATTGTGCACTCGCCCAAAGTTAACTATTGCTTCACAAAGCATACCGTAAATACTGTAATAGTACCCCACCGCCCTCGTTCAGTCGCGTAGTCGCAAAAGTTTTTCAGTATTTCATTTTTTTCAAAGCGCCCGTACTTTCAAAAATGTTTGGTATCAAAAATAGCCCTGAATTTCAGCTATTTTTTGATACCTAAGACAAATTTACTGTAACTTTATGTAAAGTTTAGTGTCATTGTAAAGTTGGCCGATCCTCTTGCCACCTGTATCGCCATGTTTCAAGATGAGGCAAGCGCTAAGAAGGTGGGGAAATTAAAATGGAAATAAAAGTATAGTAGATAGAGTTTGGTATCAAAAAATAGCCCTGAATTTCAGCTATTTTTTGATACCTAAGCGAGCATTGTAGCATAAACCAGTGACGAGAAAAACTCATTCAAAGCTAGACTACGCAACACTCCGCACCGTCATTATGGGGGTGGGGTACTATTGCAGTCTTTACGGTAGTTCATTTCCACAGTTTTAATTTGATTTTATACACTAAGTTTCTAGTAGTTAACTTCTCGATCTTTTTATATATGGAATGTCGCAGTGCTTCTGATCTAGTTTTAACACATTGACGCACCGCGCATCATAAAGCTACCGTAATTGTCTTTGGTATCAAAAAATAGCCCTGAATTTCAGCTATTTTTTGATACCTAAGCGCGCATTGTAGCATAAACCAGTGTCGAGGAAAACTCGTTCAAAGCTAGATTACGCAACACTTCGCTCGCTTCGTCATTATCGCTCGAGAGAAGCCTTTTAAGCGAGATGTCGCAAACTTCTATGCCAGATATCGGGCGGGCGTATGGGCAGCTGATTTTTGCACCATTTTGATCAGCCTAGACAATTCTACAACTTCTATTTTGGCATTGGGTAATCGGCCAATTGTAGCATAAACCAGTGTCGAGAAAAACTCGTTCAAAGCTAGACTACGCAACACTCCACACCGTCATTACGGGGCTGGGGTACTATTACAGTATTTACGGTAAGCATTTTCAAGATTAACTGATCAAAATCATAAATTCTAACAAGATAAATCTGGCTTTTTTCAAAAAATACTTTATTTTCTTGAACTTATCGTTATTTTGATGAGAAAACGTCAGAAAAACTGATTTACATTTTCGTTTGGCTAAGGGGAAAAAAGGAAATGTGATTTTCGCGGAGTGAGCCGAAAATGAGTGATTTTTGGCATCAAAGCTTGCGAAAATTTCTCGGAAATTTGAGAAATTCAAATTTATGGATTTATTTGAAGATCCCCTAGGTCTCATCCGTTTTACTTATTTCACTACGAGTGAGTGATTAGGGTCGAAAATTTTCTCATAAAGTCTAGGTTTCTGTTCGATTAACAATCTTTTCTTTATTATCATTATTATTCTGAAAGCTCCACGGGAAATGAGAATACAATCGAGATATATTGCCTTCACACATGTGAGTTCTGAATGTAGAAATGTATATATTTCATTATAAATAGGGAACTGACAAATTTAGGATAGTTGTAGAGTCTTTCTTCTCTTTCTTCTCTTTCTCCCTCTTTCTCGTTCTTTCCCTTTCTCTTTCTTCTCCTTCTCTCTCTCTCTTCTCTTTCTCTTTCTCTCTTCTCTTTCTCTTTCTGCTCCTTCTCTCTCTCTCTCTCTTTTTATCTTTCTTCTCCTTCTCTCTCTCTTTCTCTTTCTTAGTGGATGGTGCAAGTGTAGCTGAAAATTAGTGCCAAATTGACGAACGATATTACTTAGTGAAACTCGTTACCAGTTCATTTAGGATCAGTATTAGATTCTTGTAGACCAGTTCAAGAATACTTTAACCAAAGCCTAGTCAGAAAGCATAATCAAACCAAACCAGAAACCTTATGATGTGTGGCTGGCTTTTGACCATAGTAATAACGATTGGTAAAGATAGATTTTCGGAGAGGGATTGGACTCTCGATCTTCGACTGATTTCCAGGCAGATGCTTTAACCACTGAGCTATCTGTTATCTTCTTGCCAGAAAAGAAAGAGGAAATACAAGGGGAAGAGAAAGGAAGAAAGAGATGAAAGCCAGATTAGGTTGGCAAGGTCTTTGGCTTCTGGATTTCACTTCTGGCCTAGTCTTACTTGAGTTTGAAACAGCTCAGATCTAGTAGAAACGGGATTGATCTATTGTATGTCCATTTATCAATTGTACCTTGAAATCTGAGTCTTATCTTCTATCGATATCTTCTATCTTCTACAAGCTTTAGTTTGGTGCTACTTTTCTTGATCTAAATTTCGGTTTATTTTGTCCAATGAGAATGACAGCTGAGCACGATGAGATATCCATTCAATTCGTCGGCATTTTTAGTTTTCTAAATATTGATGTTCGAGTGCAAACGGTACTTTAGATATTTAAAAACATTGTTTAAGTTTTTCAGATTCTTTTCAGATTCTCCTTTTCCTTTCCGCCTCCATAATGTCGTTTTCTCTTCAATTCCTTTTTTATCGGCGCTTTGCGAAGAATTCTTCCAAAAGATGACAGAAAACGCCTAGCGCTAAAGTAGAGACAAAAAAATAGAAATGCTTTCTGACATCAATGATCTAATTTCTAGTTTTATTGCCTTGGTTTCTTGTTTGAATGGAGGGTTCGTGATTTTTCTGACCGCTGTGCCGATTTTCATCAATGATGGAGTGAGTGGAACTAGAGAGTGGGGCACTAGTGGTTTTGTAATGGTTTTCACTAGGCTTTCTAATGGTTTTTTAATGGCTTTCTAATGGCTATCCGTAGACTTTCTAATGGCTTTCTAATGACTTTCACTAGGCTTTCTAATGGTTTTCTAATGGCTTTCTAATGGCTTTCTATTGTTTTTCACTAGACTTTCGAATGGTTTTCTAATGACTTTCACTAGACTTTCTAATGGCTTTCTAATGACTTTCACTAGGCTTTCTAATGGTTTTCTAATGGCTTTCTAATGGTTTTCACTAGACTTTCGAATGGTTTTCTAATGACTTTCACTAGGCTTTCGAATGGTTTTCTAATAGCTTTCACTAGGCTTTCTAATGGCTTTCTAATGTTACAGTAAATGTACTACAGGATTTGTACTACAGGATTTTGAAGATTAACATTTTCAAGTAAAAACTCTAATAAACGCTTTCAAAGCTATCCAATGCCTAGGAAACGTTATCGTTTTTGCATTTGCATTTAAATGTTCTCGCGGAACAATTGTAGCCAGGAAAAAGGAGAAAAACAAGGCTAATTTGAACGACTTAACAGTCAATTTGGGTAAAATAACTTTGTTTTTTGCAAAGTTAAAGAAGTTAAAGAAAAAAACCGAGAGAAACACAGGCGAATGACTATTGAAAGAAACTTCACTTTATTCCAGCAAAAAGGTGTCAAAACGGTGCCCCAATTCATTGAGACCAATATTATTTAGACTGAAGTCCAACTTGATCTCACTCAGCACATAATTTATCTCAAACTCACAACGAGTGTCCTATTCAATGGCGGAACAATCGCATTCATTGCCATGAATTGTGCTTGTTTTTCTTTTCTCATCAGTCTCATTGTCAAGTATTTCGCGATTCTGCAATCGAATTTGATCATTTCAAATGCCACCGCTATCAAGCAAAAGCTCTTTTTGAAGAATAGTTTGTTACAAGTTAGTTGACAAAGTCATGGACAAATGTCTTTTAACGTTGGTTTTGTCTTCTGCTGTCTTCTGGTAAAGTTGCAACTGGTGGGCGTCTGTCTCATTGTCTTCTCATAAAGTTGTAACTAGTGGACGTCTGTCTCATTGTCTTCTCATAAAGTTGTAACTAGTGGACGTCCACTTTTTGATGCACGATCAACGTTTCCCGCGATTTTGGCCCTGGAGACAACAAGCGATACAGTTTCGGTACAGCGGAAGAGCTCGACTTTTCTAGACATTCCATTTTTCGAGCTTCGACGATGTTCTCCTTGTCCGGAGTTGATAAGTATCTAAAATCTAAAAAAGGGCATCTAAAAAATCAGAGTTAGCAACCAGAAATCAATAGGAAAACAGAAAATTTCATGTTGAAAGACTTTTGCCCATCAATTTTTGTTTTATTAAAAAGTTCATGACACCTGATAAATTGTTAAATCCATCTTTTTTGTAATGTTAAAACTAGAGATAATAAGCTCTTTAAATCTTTTAACCGTTTGCAAATTGGTCGGATTTGGATCAAGATATACAAAGAACAAACTTCTAAAAACCAACGTTAAAAGACTTTTGTCCATGAC